CCCCGCCCCGCGCCACTCGCACCCTCGCCGCCCCGCCCCGCCCCCGCCGGCGCGGGCTCCCTCACCTACCGCCCCACGCGCGCGCGCGCTCGCGCACCACGCGCCCCGCGCCGCCCGCCAGGATCCTGGCCTCTCGAGAGCAAGGTAAGGGCGATGCGCGGGGACCCGGGCGGCTTCCCCGCCCGGCGCGGCCCCGGGAAGTTTCTGGCGTCGCTGTTTTCCGCCGGGCCGGGGGAGGCCCCGGGCGCCGAGCAAGCCTCGTGGGCGGGAGGGGACGGGCCCGGCGCCCGGGGGTCACAAGTTGCCCAACCTGACATTGGGGCCGGCGGGCGGGCTGCGCGGTTGGGCGGGCGGCTCCGGGCGCGGTGCGGGCGAGGGAGGGCCCCGAGGAACTTGCTCCTCCCCGGAGGGGCTCCCTCCAGCCTTGGCCGCGGCCCCGCCACGGGAGCTGCCGGCTCTCTGGCTGGAGCGAGACCATGAAATGTGTTTGAAGAAGCTGACGCAGTTGGTGACGCTCGCGGCTTCCTGACGGGGACCGGCCACGGCAGCGCCTTCTCCGAGGAGGGACGAGCCGAGTCGGCGCTCGGGCCCTTCCCCCCCACGCCCGGGAGCCGCGCGCCCCGGCGCCTAGTTCGGGGGGCCGTGGGCTGGGGCGCGAGCATCTGGTCCCGACGGGGGGACAGGCCCCGGCAGCGCGCGTCGCTTCCGTTTTGATTCGCTCGGGTTATTATATAAGATGTCACGGAGAGGAAAGGGGCTCGCGGGAGGCGCGTTGGCGAGGGAGCGTCGGCCTGCCGCGAGGGGCGGTAGGGGCGGGAGGCAGGGCTGGGCGGGGACCCACCTGTGCGCCCTCCGCGCCCCCTGCGGGCGCAGCCCGGGCGCTTGCGGGGCTGCGGTGGGGGTGGGATCCGGAGGGGCACACGGACGTGCCCACCGCTCCCCTGCTGGACCCAGCAACACTCGGGCAGTGGCCGAAACGTGCCTTTCCTCTCTGCCGCCTGGCCTGGGTCTACATGTTTCTGGCTGCAGGCGTTTGTACTTTGAAACATTTGTTTGATATTAAGGAAGCTGCGTGTGCGGCCGTCATAGTACGCCGGGAACGTGTGGCCGTGAGCTCCAGAGCGGTGAATGAATCATCGTCCCGCGGACCCGGCACCGATGATTCACGCGGGGTACACATGCGCGCGTACTCGCCGCTTGCCTCTGACCCAGGGACAGCGGCCCTTCTGCAGCGATGACGCCTAGAGGGGCGGGGAAGAGTTCATGCAAAAGGGTGGCGGTTTATTTTTTCGCCCCTTCCACGACTGGGGGCGGGGAAGTTTGGGGGTGTCAGGCTCCCCAGATTCCCCGAAGCTTGTTTCACGTTCTTGGAAGGGTTACAATATTCCACCTGGCTGCATTAATGAGTCGGTGGAGGAGCGCTGATTCGCTGCAGGACTGGGTCCTGTCTCATTCAGAATTTGGATAGTGTCAAGTGAGGTTTGGGCTCAGAAAAAAATCCTTCTAGTAATTGCCTCTACTTAAGTACCTCTAAAGTCATTAGCAAAAACGTAAAAAGTAGTGGATCTTAAAAGAAAAATAAGTGGCTCCTAGGTAGAGGAATCCTACTAAAAGATTTAGGTTTTTTGAGTTTTTTTCCTTTAAGCCAAATCCTAATAGGAACTTAGTTTGCCATTAGTACAGAACTTTTGCCCACTGTGACCACCCTGAAAGACTAAGTTCACTCTTTCCCATGCCATCCCACACTAGAAAGATTAAGAGTAAAGTTCTCTCATCACTTAGAACTCTGCTCTGCAAGTAGCTTTTCACCCCTCCAAGAACCACCTCCTAGCCCTATTTCATTTTCTTCAAAGCATTTCATCACTCTCTGAAATGATTTTATTTAGGCATCCTGTAAGTCCTGTCTCTTTGCACTAGAATGCAAGCTCCACTCTGGCAGGGATTTTTTCCTGTTTTGTTCACTGCTATAACTTTAGCACCTAGAACTATGCCTGACATATGTTAGGCATTCAGTGTTTGTCGACTAGTGAATGAATAAATTCCCTTTTCCTGATTTCTTGGTTGGAATATCTTTGACAGTTGAAATTCAGTGCCTTTTGTTGGCAAGGCACTAAGATGGTACAGTTCTAATTTTTTTCTTCTGATTTGTTTTTGATTGATTGACTTCCTCTGTGCTGTTAACTTACAGCACAAGATGGGTTTGAACATCATGTCCTAAGATGCTGAGTATGAAGAAAGATAATGTGGAGTTTTGTCAAGAAAAAGTGTGTTACTGTATAAGTCAATGGATGATTAAAAATATTATCTGTGTTAGTTGAAACAAAGTGTAGGATATTGAAATGGAATCAGCAAAGTCAGTTTCCCACATATTACAATATATGTTTCCACTCATATTTAAAATACTGATATTTCTATAGTCTTCTCTCCCTACTGACTGTATGCCAACCTCAAATTTAGCTGCAGTTTGGGAAGATCCATAGTAGGTAGCATTTAGTATGAAGTATTAATTTATCTAAATGAATACAAGATTTACATCTCTGCAGAGGCCGTAACTCTACTTTGTTGTTGATAATGTCGATAACTCCACAGAACAGTAGATAGAAGTTACTTAAAATATATTTTGAACACATAAAATGCATTGTAAAGAATTACAGCTATACTAATAAGCCAATGATATAATGAAAGAACTATTTGAATGTAGTGCTTTACTACTTCCTCTTTAGAGGGTAAACTTTAGTAAACTTTGTATTATTATAAAAAACTTTGGAGACATAGTAGCCACCTTTAATCTTATAGCAGTGTATTTAGAACTCAGTACCTCCAAAGTGACTGATGAAGAGTGGGCATCCAGCAGTTTCCTTTCCATAACAGGAGCTGTGATCACTTTCAGGAGTATAATCTCATGAGTGAGCTCAGAGATAATAGAACTTTAACCCTCCATCAAGCGCAACTGATCTCACAGATTCATTGCATACAAAGATGCCGCTATGAAATACATCTTTACTGTACTAAGTCACAAACACGACTGGCAATAGGTTACCGTAGAGGGGAAAGATATGGAAGCAGTGAGTCACGATACTTAAGTAAACTGTTAGATATTTGAAAATTTGTGTGCAATGAATCTGAGATCAGTTGCGCCCGACGGAGGGTTAAAGCTAAAAAGGACCTTGAAATTTCTTGGCATAGTTCATTCCTTTCTACCAATCCCTTTACTGAGACAGCTAAGGCACAGTGGGATGACTTGCCCGAGATGCAGGGCAGGCAGGGCAGGGATGAGAAACAAGGGTCCTGACTTCTTGTTGGAAGTCCCTGGATTAGCTAGAGCTCCCATAGGTGAGGGACGAGTGGCTCCTACCATGAGTTGATTGTCTGCCTCTTGCTTCTGAACTCTCAGAGAGTAAAACTGTTATCTTATTCAACCTTATACCCTGCCCTGTGCCGTGGATATCTAGAGGCTCAACAAATCCTCGTTGAATGTGGTTGGGCAAATGTATTGAAACTGAAAATAAGAATTGAAAATGCAGGGAAGCATACCTCTTTTCCAGATTGAAGAAGCTTTCTGACAAGAGACTCAGAAATTTGGCAGTAATTAACCTTAAAACTTTAGTAATGAAGCTACTGTTTAGTTTTCATGCCTCCAGGATTTCAAATAAAATGACTTACAACGTATAAGTGTATGTGTGCTAGCTAGCATAATTATTCACTGGAGAAACAGTAGGAAAGACACCTGGTAGGTTTGTCTCTGTCGCAGCGTCCAATTAGAAAAGTCTAGACTTTACAGCCAGATAGCCTTGGGGCTGAAGTTGAGCTCTGCCCCTGACAAACAGGGCTGGCTCTCGATAGCAAGTTACCTAACTTTTTTGAGCGTTCTCTCGTTTCTAAAGTGAGGGGAATACCGCTTACCCTGAAAGATTGTTTGTGAGACTGGGATAACATATGTAATGTGCCTGGTGTACGTTAGGCCCTTAATAAATGGTAACAGCTATAACTATGACTTCTGATTTATGTGACCATGGGAACAGCTTAAATCTCTCCAAGTTTCGGTTTTCTCAACTGGAGAATTGGTGGTTGGGATGGGACAGGGAATTAAATGATCTCTAAGATTTTGTCCATCTCTGTAGTTTAAGGGACCGATAAAGAATGCACAATTCTCCTACAATTTTAGTTTAAATAAAATGACTTGTATTGATCTAACAAGAGGAATTACAAAAATGGCTAGTTTCTAGGCCTTCCTAAGAATTTAATATAATTAATGTTGATGATGTTAAGTACATTATCGTGATTTTATATGCTGTATAATGGATACAAAGTTAACTTGAATGTTTCAACTTCTCAGCTTACTATATATACAAGGCAGTTTAAGGAGTACACGAATTAATCAGACATAGACATCCTTCCTTTGAGAGGCTTTAGAGTCATGTAGGTAGTCTATGATAGATAACCAAAGGCTATATTACACAGAAGAACTGTTAGAGAGGTATAAAGAAAATGCTTTTTGATTTCAGAGAAGGAAAAATTGGGGAAGACTTCGTTAATGATTTGAGCAGAGCCTTAAAAGAATTGGTAGGACTTCAACCAGCAGAGATGTGGGGCCCACCTATACTAAGACTTGAAGGAAGGGCTAAATAAGCATATCCAGGAATGGAGGGCAATGTGTTTACCTGGAGGAGGAGGAACCTAGAGGCGGGATAGTGGGATACAAAGCTGCATGGCAAGGTTAGGACAATATTGTGAGTATCTTGAATGCTGAGCTAAAAAATCCGTTTAGTAGTCAGTAAATAACCATTAAATATATTTTAAGTGAGGAAATGATGCAATTAAAGCTGTGCTTTAAGAAGATGAATCTATGTTGGGGGAACCATGGGTAGTCCCAGTTAGGAAGATATTAAAATAGCCTCCAGAAGAGAAGCGATGGGAACCTAAATTAGGGTGGGGGCAGGTGGGTCGTGCCGGACACCGGACACCGTAGAAGTAAACGCACCAGGGCTTGTTGACTGATTGGATGAGGATGTTGCAGGAGAAGTCCAACACTGAAGCTGAGTGGCTTTGGGTAGTAATGGCAGGAGCTGAAATAGCCAGAAAGGGCCAGTAGTAAAGGCGCCTGCAAGCAGAGTGCAGTCAGCAAATATCTGTGTCATTAATGG